AAGAAGAAGAAGAAGAAGAAGAAGAAGAAGAAGAAGAAGAAGAAGAAGAAGAAAAAAAATTCTTAACACCCTGGGCTGTGCGGGTTTCCATAACTAAAAGGAAATAGTCAGAGCAATAAAAGCTTATCTGAAAATATTCCGCGAAAGTCTCGTTTGCTGAGGTTCTACGAGTCTACGAGAAATGCAACTTAGCCAAGGCCTGGGCTAGCCTGGCCTAATAAATTAATATTCTTCTTTAAAATACTTTCATGAAATAAAAATTTATTAATTTTCAGATTTATCACTTTCCCAAGTTTAGAGAGTTGATCAAAGTAAAGACGCAATACTTGAATCTTGTGTTTATTTTTATACATTAGGTATGATGACAAAACATGAAACATCCTGCTGTATCGATCGAAGCGTTGAGGGACCCACATAATACCCTTTTGCGCTAGACTAGAACGAAAACGCGGCAAATTCAACGCGCCTAAATTATAGATCCAGGCCAGAAGTCCAGAAGACGCGCGGTCTTGCCTCGAACGAACAAGCGAAAACAGCAGAAGGCAAAATTCGAGATCGCTTTACTTATTATTGAGCCACCGAATTGTTGAGTGTTGACGTTGTAGACGGAATCTTGGCAGTTACACGTGAGTAGTCTTTTGAATATCAGTAGTTAATTAACATAGAAATCTAGAATCTAGATTATTCTAGATCTACATGTATTATGAAGCCGATTCGGTACATGTGTCATGAGAGCGCATTCTCATTCGGCTCGGCACAGTAGTAGCCTACTCACGACTTAATTACACTTAAATCATAGATATAGATATAGATATAGATATAGATCTAGCCTTGATCACCTAGATCTAGATCTAGATATCTACAGCCAAGTCCATGATTCACCAAGAACGAAATGATTTTTGTGATCTGATAACCAGTCATGTTATGATATTAAAGCCATAATCTAGATTAGAATCTAGATTTTCTAGATCTATATATCTAGATTCTAGATCTAGATCTAGATCTGGAATCTAGATATAGAAATCTAGATTCTAGATTAGAGAGATTAATAATAACTTGCGATGGAGAAATTCTAGAATCTAGATCTAAATCTAGATGTCTAGAATCTAGATTTCCAGATAGATCACTATACAAAGTCAGGGAAGATTGAAGAATACCGGACCACTCGTATACATATTGCGCGAGAATGTGGGGGGGTCTCCCCCCTGACAAAATTTTAATGAATAGATCTAGATCTACCGGTCCTAGATTCTCCTTTGAGAGATATTAAAAATAAAAACTGGGGAAAATCGTGAATTCCTAAGGTTGAGACCCGCGTTTTCGTTCTAGATCTAGTATTCTTCAATCTTACCCTGATCAATAAAAGATTCTAGATCTCGATATCTAGATTAGATCTAGATATAGATCTAGATCTAGATATCATGCGATACGGTCGTCCCATAGTTGTATTCTCAGACCAAGAGAGAATAAAATGGAAATAATTCTCACCCAGGGTAGACATATCTAGTTCTAGATCTAGAATCTAGAGCTAGATAGATCTAGAGTCTGGATCTAATCTAAATCTAGATCTAGTAGAATAATGACTTTGGGTAAGACCAATGATATGTACTATCATTGGTAAGACGTCCCATAGCTCAAAACCTAAACGAAATAAAAAGGGCGGAAACAAAAAAAAAAAAAAAAAAACAACTTGTGAGAATGATTTGACGAGTATTCTCACACCGAGTGAGAATACTCCCACCGTCATGTTAAACATCTAGAATCTAGATCTAGATCTAAATCAAAACCATAGATGCACACTATAAGGGGTGATTCTATGATCAAAACTGAAACTAACAAGTTTAGCTGAACATGAGTCGTGTGTGAAAGTATATATCTAAAATATAGTAGAGTCTTCTCATTACTTTTACTGTCTCGTTTTTGCGTAATTCTAACATTTCTATTCAGTATAGGCCAGCAACTAAAAAACCCCAAACCCCTTAGCCTTAGACTTAGATCTAAGATCTAGATTCTAGACAAGAATCTAGATAATAAAATACGAGGCCTGACTTCGTTTGCACGCAAATGTCTACCCTCCCCCACCTTTTAATAATATAGGCATTATAACGTCTCTTTTATTCACTGCCTATTTCGCCATTGCAGACTAGGTAGACTTGTTACGAATTACATAATGGCATTACTTTTTGCTATTAATCCGATAGCTGGGGTCTGAAAAGAAAGCTAGATTCTAGATCTTGTTCAAGAGTGAGCGTGGACTAGACTCTAGTAGAGCTTTTTTCAGGTGTCTTTATCGATTGTGTATACGACTAGACTCTGGTACGTGTATAGGGCCTAGCCTACATAGACCAGGATAATAAGCTTATTTCATGTCCTTTTTTGGACCGTTTTCGGCAAGCAACATGGGGCAAGGCTTTTTAGTTTTAGCCTTTTCAAGCTCAAGCCGCTTCCTTCCAACACAACCAGCAATGCCTGGCCAGCTGGTCCTTTGTCCCGACTCCCGACAGCGCTGCGTGGGCAGGGTCTTTACTATAGCACAACAAAGAATTAATCCCAGACCGCGCTCTTTTTTTTGTGGCATTGGTAGATCGACTGAACAGCCAACGTTTGGTGTAGGTAGAAATGGATAGACCTAGATATAATATTTAGAGGTGTCTGTCTGTGTCTTTCTGTCATGGAGTCTTTAGGTCTTTTACTTTGAGGGATCAGATTTCGAACTCTTGGAGTTCATACAGAAAATAAATGTTCATTTTAGTTTATACACGGGTGAAGCATTTAGTCGGCTCTCTGAATAAGAATTAGTCATTTTGATTAGGGCCTATAATCAATATTATGGCCGGTGGTTCAGAGAAAAGACCCGTCCGTGGTTCCCGCCTGTCTTGTAAAACGTAAACCCGGTTCTTTTACAGCATGCAAAAAAGTCTGCTCTTGGCTATATTTAGCAAATCGTTATGCTTGAATACACCTGACAAGTGCAGGGGGACTACTTGGCTACGTGACGCAATTCTGAACCAAGCACACCGATAGATTCTTTAATGAAAGACGGGAAGTACGTAGGCTAACCTACTAATAGTCTACCCCTCGATGACTGAGATAGGCCTATTATTGATTAGCCTATGACCAGTAAAGCCTCTGATCGGCTAGACTGTTTTATAGAACGTATAGCATAGGTAGGCCTAGGCCAGAATAAATTAATATTGGTAGACATATGGCGCGAAATGAGAAAGGTTTGCATATCATTGCCTTGCTTGGCCTATTCTAAATTTAGCGTCATGCGTGGGAGGGAAATCCCACGCGCGCAAACTGGCCGCGCGCGCGCCGAATAGGCCAGAGCTCGCCCAGTCTTGATGGGATTGCTGTGCGTCGGTGAAATTAGACCGGCACATGGTTTCGAGTACCACCAGTGTAACGGTACCGGTACCGGTACTGGGATAAGATGGTATCAGAGGCTCTTGAAGTCTTCGCATCTCGAGTTTTCCTAGCTGCTCCCCCCCCCCTTCAGCCCCCGCTCCCACCCCACCCCAAATAATGAAGACATCTAAATAAATGAATAAATTAAAAACAACAACACAACAACAAACAAACAAACAAAAAACACATTCGCTGCGCTCCGAGACTCGTGTCCTTGCATGAGCTTTTCATGGCATGACGAGTGAATATTAGGCAAGGCGGGCACAGGGCAATTTTAGTTGCTTAACAGTTGCTGTCTCCGGGCAACTTATTTTATACACCGCACGCTCATAGGTAAGCAACAGCCAGGCAGCCGTAGGTTATCATCAATTCTGACTTCCTCATTTGACGTGGTAGGCGCTAGGCCTAGATACTTCCCAGTACCGTCAATTATAATGGAGGCCTGGTGCCGGTACTGAAACCGCTTACGGTAGCCAAGGCTAATACCGTGAGTTTCGGTACTGGGAACCGGTTCCTGTCCAGCACTGGGCCAGTGGTGGGAGTGTCGTTGGCTAAGCCCCGTTCTCTGATTGGTCGGGGCGTTTTCTATTCGCTCAACTTGGCCTCGACTCGACTTGCTGCGCTCGGCGCTCGATAGGCCCTAGAGAGGCCTAGTTTGCACGTGGTGGCAGAAATTGAGACGCGCATAGAGACGCATTGTTCACAAAAAGCGGTCCTGGAAACGAGCATGTCAGAGTGGTAGTGCCTTTATTTAATAACTTATTTCTCCCGTATTTTCACATTCCTACAGGTGAGATGTTCTACTTTCAATTTCATATTTTGTCTTTTTCTTATTATGATTATCAGTTTGAGCCAGTCACTTTCACATTGAGAATGTGAGTACCGGCAATACGAAATCTGAGTAGGACAAGGTCATTGATGTTTACGCGCACGTGCATAGATCTACTTGTGTGTAGATACTACAGCAGTTGTTTTCGATTTTGGCTGTGGAAACGAAAAAGTTGTTAAAACACACAAACGGAATCGGATCCCACCTTTAATTTTATTTGAATCTTGAAATTGAAAGAGAAACGGTTATGGCATGGGCCTACTACTGCTAGATTCCATTACAACCATGTCTCACAGCGCCTCGTCACTCATGGCGATGATGCAACTGCCATGTGAAGGAAGCCAGTCATAGCCACCCTAATAGTAGGCTAGTAGTGGAGAAATACTCTGTACGTGGTTTTTGTTGCTCTCGCCTGTAAATGATGTAGGGAATAGATCTAGATATATAACTGATCTTTGATTCCCCTAGGAACATGGTTCGGTCCCGACATAGACAAGTTGGCTGTTGTATCGGTGTATTTAGTATAGCCTATTCAGTTTGTGCGGTTGCCGAGGCGATAATTGTTTAGGAAGGACTTCCTTTCCGGCCGTTTTATTTCTTTATTTTATTAGAAGATAAATGAAGTGTGGGCCTTAAGTTATTTTTACCTTAAACTTCTGCCTTTATTTGCTTAACAAGTTGAATGATGGATGGAATATTATATATTGTCTTCAATATTGAACTTAACAGCACACCCTTGGCATTCTGCCTAACATTTTTTTTTCTTCTGAAGAGACGTCTGCAGGACTTAAAGCAGTGGCCAGTTGTTGTGAGGAAACCTTATTGGAAATTTTGCTTCTAATAGTAAATTAGAAGCCTTCTCAGCTAATGATTTATTGTCCGAAAGTGGCTATTCTCACCCGCCCGGAAGTTCACGCAAGATCAACTCCTCCCCTCTTCTCTCTCTCTCTGTCTCTTTCTGAATACTGTCTATCGGTGTGGACGATCAAATTGACCAAAACAAAGTAAAAAAATGATGTTAAAACACAAAAGTAAATTAATTTGGTTGTCTACAAAGATGCTACGGCTATTTAACTTTTCGAATCGAGCCGAACTACGCGGGTCGCCATTTTGTTTTGCCCGGAAATTCTCGCTCTACTCCTCTCTCTCTTTCTCTCTCTCTCTCCACTGCCCACAGACAAAATTGTACGCTTTTAGTAGGCTACAGTTGTAATGGAACGTTTGTTCACGGCACAGAATTCTACAATTTTTCTGTTATCACAGTGTAGAATTCTGTGGTTTAGGGTGAACGCGCACCGGGTGAGAATAGCCACAAGACTCGCCTGCACTATTCTCACTCCGGGTGAGAATAGAGGTGGCCTTATTGTCCAAGATGGGACTTTCCTGGTCTCAGACTGCTCGACAGAGACAATCCACCATCACCTGAAAACACATCGAATTCACACACAGAAATACCATGTCTGCCCCCGGAATGGAAAAAATTGAAAGAATATACTATAGGCTCGGCCAATAATATGTGGGTGTGGGTTAAGCTACTACAATGTCCCTTTGGACCTAACGATAGACCCACTGCACCAACCACGATCTTTGGACTTTGGTGGATAACACCTCAATCAGCAATGGCATTGATTTCGACATGTTAGGGGCTTTGTGATTCACTTGAACTGTTTACAGGATGGACAACTTGACATAATACAGTTAAACCTGCTCTGACGGCCACCTGTATAAAGACAGTCCCCTGTACCAATGGTCACTTCCTATTTCCTCCCAGACGTAGTTTTTAAAAATTAATATTGTAAGACAGCCCCTTTTCTCCGGGACCACGGGTGGCTGTCTTAGACAAGTTTAACTCTTCAATTTGCTAGCATCTGCGTTTGTTGCCATTTTTAAATTCAAAAGTTGCCCCAAAAAGTGGCAAAAGTTGCCCAAAAAGTTGCCATTAATTTTCAAGCTTTCAACTCTGTGACGACGTAATATACCAATATGTTGATAGAGGTAACAATCTAAAGCGCCAGAATTTCTTGTGCTCTGTTTTAAGCATTCAGAATATCATTTGTAGTCACCCGGAGGTTAAAAACGTGAAAAATAAAGGTTTCACAATAGAATGAAATCAAAATTAGAAAAGCACAATGAATAACCACAAAAATTAACTAATTAGGGCGCGTGCCACCTATTGGAAGATTGGCTGTTTTAACCCTAAACGTGTGTAATTAAAAAAAAGTAGGCTTGCAGGATACCACATGTAAATTGTATTATGGAATCACACACAATTGGGGCGTGCCAGTGTCAGTATTTTCAGTTTTGATGGAGACACGCTCTAACATAACTCATTTCTATTAAATTGAATGACATTGCGCTGTATAAACGGAAAAAAAAAAGAAAAACAAATCATCAGAACAATTTTTACCAAAATTAACACCAACAAATTAAAACTCAAGAAAGAGGGAAAAATAAAAGACAGTCAGCAATATAAACAGTATGTAATGTAATGTACTTATATTCTCCGCATGAAAATAGATACACATGGACATCTTAAAACTTATCAAAATACATGTCTAGTATGTTATGAAGTAGCTTTGTTGTTTTGTCTTTTTTGAAAAATTATACAAAAATCACGGCCGCGATTTGCGGACCAAAAAATGCCCAAAATCGCTGGCAGTTTGAGCCAACCATTGTATCAGGAACCATCACTTGCCATCGCCATATTAATAAGTATGATCCTTTCAAGTTGTACACTATAAATATATATATATATTTTTTAAAAATAAGAAAACATATTGTCACCTTGGTATTTTCTACAATGAAACAATAACGTATTACTTATAAATGGAACTTTGTTTTCATTTCTTTTGCCTTCAACTGCTTCTTGTTCTTTCTCTCTGTATATATACCCATATTGTTTGCTTTGGATTTAGAACACAAAGATGCCTTTTACAACGAGCTCCCCAAAGAAGGCTCCCATCCCAGGACCAAATGATTCTGGAGTTAGCATACGGCTTGGTGATGTTTCCACACCCAACAGCAGTGAATCAGATGAACTGGAGAAGCTGAGCCCAGGGGACTATGAGAAGTCAGACCTGACGATTGACATTGAAGATGGTGAGCTGTACTTTTATTGTATAGCATGCACTGGAATGTAGTGCCAATAGATAATTTGTGTTGTGTATCAATTTTGTGAACTAAATGTCTTACTTTTGGTGCCATGCTTCTGACTTTTATACTTTTGGTACGTGTCGACACTTAGAATGAAGGTTCATGATGCATTTGCATATTTAAAAAAAAAATTCATACTTCACGCTTAGGTAAATCTTTTACAATTTATAATAGTATGAAATAATAAAATAAGCCTATTAAAATTAAAAGATGGCGTCAGTTGAAAATCTATGAACGTGAACACTTGTGAATTTCGAGAACTAACTCATTTTATCAGCACACCTCCTAATTAGGGTATTTAAGAGGCGGGATATCTGAATTTAACTTCCGTCTCTGACAGAACTAAGCCAAATGGATTGAGTCTTGAAAACCTCACAAAACAACCCAAGTTCCAGAATGCCCTGTCAGGGATTTGAACTAAGGCCTTCTGCTCCGTATTCCAGCATGATATCAACTGAGTTAACAGAGCACCCACGCTAACATTTGGTCTGCTGCCGTGTTATGTCCTTGCTGCTGTGTGGTGAGGTGTCAGCAAACTAGCAGACAGCTGCACAGGTCAATTAGCAGTTTGTCCCATCAGTATGTCATCCACATGTCTCTTGCCTCATCATTAGCACCTCATTCTGCATGGCTCTTTGTTTTTTTGTTTCTTTTTTTAGACAAGCTGGATGCCGTTGATGATGATGAGGATGGAGATTCAAGTCAGTCATCATCAGTCATTAGTATTGTGAGCGATTACTGTGGATCCAAGTTGAAATGGGTATGTGTGCATTTCACCTTCCTTCTCTGTCACCTTCCTTTGTAACATTTCACACTTAAAGTCATGTCTTCAGTATATTCTTTTCTTCCCTTCTTTCTCTCTTTTTTTCTTTAACACTTTGCCCCCACAGGACGCCATTCGGCGACGGTAAGAAGCTGTCCATTTTCCCCTCCGATTGGCGCCGGTGTGATATAGCGTGTACCGCACCTGTATCCTGGTCCGTGAGGATAATGTTGCACGCTGTGTGGGTGGAAAGTGTTTAACAAGCACTTCATGCTTCTACTAGCCAAAAATTTTCTGCCGTTTTTGAAAACTTGTTACTTATTCATTTTGTGGACTAATTCAATGTAGGTAGTTTTAATGGCGTGTGTATTTTGGGGTAGTGGTGGGTGCAGTTTAAAGGACCAGAGTTGTTTAAATCTTTTGTACAGTTATTTTGAAATTTCAACACATGAGGATGTTTCCTCTGATAAATTGTTCTAAATTTAAGTTTATTTTAAATAGTTCATTCTGTATGGATTGCCAATGGTTGTTCTTTTAGTTTGTTATGCTGCTTATTTATGTACTGCAGTTATATATATATATACATATGCTGTGAAAGTTTTAATTGATAATGGAGGTTGGTTCGTGAGTACTCTTGTGTGGTTTGCTCCTTATTTCCTGTCAAAAACATCTTATCATCCTTATCTCTCCTCCTTTTGTGTTTGTTACTTTGTTGTAACACGTGCTATCTTTGATACTTATATGACCTAATTGTGTTATAGGATCTAATTGTGTTGCAAAAGTGCGTAAAACTATTCTTAAAAAACAAAAGCAAGATTGAAAATGTTGTCTTTTTTGTTGTTCTACAGATAGTGCTTGCAATCCTGTGCATGGCATATGCAGGTTACTTTATCTGGGCGTTGGTTGTTGCTGCCATCCACAAATGCGATGAGGACCATGATGTTGTGCCGCTCATCTGTCTCACAGTTGCTGCTCTGCTCATTGTCATCATAACATTTGTGAAGGAAAAATTTTCCGATGACATCAACCAGTCAGTTCTTGTACCTCTGAACAAAAGTATCAGTAACCACTGGCACATTCTGAAATGGTTAGTTTTTTCAAGTTAGCTTCTTTCAAGTAGTGTATACTTTTGATAATCTGTAAGTCATGTTCTTGAAACCTTGAGGCTTTTTCTTTCTTCCTTCCTTTCTTTCTTTCTCTCTCTTTCTTTCTTTCTTTTTTTCTTTCTTTCTTTTTTTAAAAAGATGCTGGGTCTTTGAATACCTTTTTTTGTGGTGACAATTAATTCTGGCTTTGGATTTTTATTTGATTGCTGAAATGTTGGGTTTTGGAGCATGAGAGGGAGCAGGTGTAGCCTTCTTTGAACATCTATCATCTAAGGTTTTGTGTGTCGGAGAACAGAGGCGTTCAATAGCAGATGTCTGTTATTCTGCATAATTGGTTTGCTAACCGCCTTATATGGGCAGAAAGGAAATGTATCCATGTCTGTTCTTAGTCACCAGCCCAACATATTCGTAGGTAATGTTGCTACAACGCTTGAATCATAACAAGAATAGAAAGATGACATCTTTTACTTGTATTATTATTTTTTTAAAAATATTTTGAATTGTTGAATTCATTGGTGTGGGTTAGAAAAATATACATATGGTATGTTATTTCAGCACCTTTTACTCATTATAATGCAGTAAACTCAGCCAAAAAGATTTAACCCCTTCTGAGCCATTGTTGACTGTTTTTGTCTTTGAAACATTTGATAGTTAAGTCAGAGAGAGAAAGGAAAAAGTAGCATCATCACCAGTTTGCTTTATCTGAGCTATTTTAATCTTTTTGCAACGGGTAATATATTACAACTATTTGTCAGTAACCTAGAGAAGAGTGATATTTTAATTATTCCTTTCAGTGCTTGCATTGTGACTGGCCTGAATGTATACCTGATACGATACAAATGTTCTTTCAGGATCCTGGCAGTTGCACCTATTTTGGGCATTCTTGCAATCATCATCGTGTCTGCAGTTCAAAGACCATCAAATCTCATTTCCCTCATGGGCTGGATGTTTTTAGTGTGCGTCCTGATCTTCTGCTCAAGAGCTCCAAGAAAAGTAAGTTTGCACTGGAGATTACCCGACTTTAATGACGTTGTGTTTCAAGTCTGGTGGAAATGAAAATATCAATGTGTCAGACAAAACCAATTAAATTTCTCTGAAATATTTAATCATCGAGATGTGTCCTTCCTCTGTAGCATGTCCATTTCCTGGTTGCTTTCTGTAACGTGTCCTGCTCCTACTTTGCGCAACCTTCTGTGCGTGTTCACTTGGGGTTCACTTTTATTGGTTCAACATTAATAATGGTAATGGTAATCGCTTTCCCCCCATTTTCTCTAGTTGGCTCACGCAATGGCAATGGAGAAACTTTTAACATAATTCAAAACACTCGGGGGGGGGGGTTAGAACCGAAGTAGAAGAATGACATTATAACAACAAATGATTATAGCAATAACATTTTGAACCATTCCGCGGCGTGCAACAATGCTGGGGCAAAAGTGTGTGCACAGCACATGAAAAAAATTGTTTGCGAAATAGGAAAAAGGACGCGCCATGGAGAACAGCTCGGAAATGGACACACTATGGAGAACGGACATGCCACTGAGTCCTACACATAAATATAATGTGAACAGAAAAGTCATAGGCAATGATTGAAATCTTTGCAAGCTTTATAGTTCTTTCCACAATTCTATCAAATACTTCTCTGATTTTTGCTCACAATTTCATATTCAAACTAACTCTTGACAGTTCTTGGGTTTTTGACCAATTTGTCAAGACAAAGGTGGTTGTCAAAAAAAATTCATACAAATTTCAATTAGATTCTATTCGATGGATATTCCATTGGTAACTTTTAGGTGAATTCTTAGTTTAATGATCAGTCTTAAAAAGGAATTCAAGAAGGCAGATGGATTGGGTAATTTAGGAAAATACACTACTCATTTTTTATTTTAGTGTGAAAAAAACGTCTGTTTTTCTCCTTGTCAACAGAATCAAGTCTGACATTTATGTACAAGAATCAAACTGGATATATTTGATTTAAAAAAACAAAACAATTTTAGCCTCCTAAAGCCTTGGAACATTTTGACGAATGAACTGTTAGTCTTTGAAAGTGTTTCACATTGGTAAAACTTAATGTAACCACTAGAGACTGATTAAGGATTAGATTGTAGTAATACATTAGTCATTAGTTTTTTGATGGAACATTTTCTGTCTTCAGGTGAAATGGAGGCCCGTTGTCGGTGGCTTTGCACTGCAGTTTTACTTTGCCACTCTGATTTTGAAATGGGACAAAGGATACGACATGTTTAATGCTGTTGGAAAGGGATTCACAACGTTTCTCAGATACAGCGAATATGGGGCAGCTTTTGTGTTTGGCAATCTGGATGATCACTTCTTTGCCTTTAAGGTGACTATGTTTGATTGATCAGTTAGAGCGTATCCTGTTGGGTGTATATTTTATTAACATCTGAAATAGCTGGTACTGTTTTTTTTTTTTTCTTTTTCTCTTATTTGCTCTCCGAATGGCTTTCCATATTATGTCGTATATGAAAGGTAAAGATTAAATTTTGACAAATAGAAATGAAAATTTAATTGGTTTGCATATATATCTACTTCTGTGGCTGATTATTTATGACATTTGCTTTCGCTTGCTCTGGAAAATAATTTTAATAAGGATACTCATGGTGTCGTCTTATTTCTGTAAAGGTAAATAAGGGATTTGAAGAGAGGAAAGTTTTGGCATGGTATTCTCTTCCGTTGAATATTTGCGCTATTGTGATGCTTATGACTTTTTGCGAACATTCTTCGAAGGTCAGACGGTCATCGGAGTATTTTATAGTCATCAACCAATTTTTATTACATTGGTAATAATGCTGCATATTGACTCTGCTGTTGTAAAAATACATACACATATTAGTATTAGACTCAGAATAAAATTTAATATATCTCTGTTTCTCTTCTCCAGGTTCTTCCAGTAATAATTTTCTTCAGCTGCGTAATTACAATGCTTTACCACCTCCGTGTTATGCAAGTCATCATCGGCAAAATTGCCTTTGTCATGAGAGTTACCTTAGGCACCACAGCCGCTGAGTCTTTGTGTGCTGCAGGGAACATCTTTGTAGGACAGGTGAGAAAGGATATATGGCTGTCTGCCTGTACTGACTTAGTCAGTTTAAATAATTTAGTATGCAGATGAATGTAAAGTGCAAGACTCGTCATTTGCTGATGTTGAATTTCCTGGCCTCTGCTTCGTCATATTTATGTACCATCAACTTACTTCCTTAATTTAAGACCTTTTCTCTTCATTTAGGTATTGCACGAGAATCTTTTAATCCGTGTCTTGTTTCTCATAGATCATATTTGTTCATGACGTGGTGGAATTAAGCGCTCATCAATTTTTGGGCATATAGAGAGTTATTTAATATCATTTTAAGGCTTGTTCGTCTTGCATTAGATGAAAAAACCCATCTCTCTCTTGAATAGATGTTGAAATATTTGCGATTGAAGGAGATGGGGATCACTTGGTATGAGAGGTAAAAATTAGTGAGAAAATAGTGATTTCTTTGATTCCATTGTTTTGACGAGCGCCTAATTTTTTTCCATGCTGCCTCACATATGTGTTCATAATTTTTTGTTGTTGGCTACTGAGATTTTGTATAGAATGGGTTACATTTGAAAAGTGTTACTGCTTTTTATATGCTGAACCCAATTCCTTGTAATCCACTTAAAATTTGTTTTCCTTGAAGTGAAATGAACCTTTCAGCTTGCGTAAACTTTCTACCTTTTTTGCCTGTGGTGTCCAAGGCCAACTGTATATGTAATTGATAAATCTATACCTATTCCCAAGGCCCTCAAGAAAAAAGTGTATAATTACTCCATGAATTTGTTGTTTCATTGTGGGAATTCCATGTCTGCAAGAATAAGCATTTGGTGAAAAGAGAGGAAACTACTTCTTTTGAATAATAGCGTTCTTTATTGTTTGAAGTTACCAAGCTGGTAAAAAAAGTGTTATTTTTTGTTTTTTTAACTTAATCAGTCTTTAAAGTTGTTCTTACAGGTTAGTTGCCTTTTTATCCCCACAGACTGAGGCACCAATAATGATCCGTCCATTTCTGGCTCTCATGACACGCTCTGAACTCCATGCTGTCATGGTTGGAGGGTTTGGCACCATAGCTGGTGCTGTATTGGCAGCATATATTATGAAAGGGGTAGGTGATGTAGTTTTATCATTTATGCCTTTCTCTGTCCAATTGCAAAATCAGCAGCTTAAACAGTCGAACCTGCCTTAACGGAATCTCCCTGCTCCCCCCTTGATATAATTCTCTTTAATTACCTGTGTAAACCAGAAACCTGTCCAATGTGGAAACGCAATGAAAAATCGGCTCCCTTTTGAGGGTTTCACCTTCTATCTAAAGCGGAAAATGCTTTGCCTGCTGAGCCCTGATTTGAAACAAAACTCGCAAGTTTGTTTCCGCCGGCTCTAAACTTAACGCCATGACCATTCCTCGGGTGAGGAAAGGGAGTAGGGGTGCAATTTGGGGGTAGATGTTACCCCATCGTGTGAACCTGAGCGACGCAGATGGTCAAGGTAGTGTGGATGTGAAATCTCATGACTGCCCGTGAGAGTAGTGAGCCACTACGGAAACTTTTCTGGGTGGCCAGAAACCAGAGATGTGAAATTAGATTGACCAATGCCTGCCGCCCTGGTCGTACGGTACGGCCAGCCGAGAAAAGAGTTCATCTAATTGTTGTTACATGATGGCAGTGAGGGGTGGCATTGGTTGACTGTGCTTGTTGCACCGATGGGTGGGACTAAGGGTGGAAGCAAAGGAGATGTTCTAACGTTTCTGTTTTTAATAGGCCAAACAGTGGTTCTATGAAAGGCAAGCACTGGTGTTAACTGGATAAGTAAACATGTCATTATCAGACAGGATAGCAGTTGAGAGGTGTGAGGTTTTGACCACTACTTGCCAATCGGACAAGCGATCCTTGATCCCACCGGCTGGGCCTTTGAAACCCCCCCCCCCCCCTTCCATCTCCCCCCATATTCCCGGAATTTTTTTCTGGCTGCCTTGTGATTCAGTCGTACACAGGTTCGACTGTATTATGAAAGGTTAGGTGATGTAGTTATGTCATTGTATGTCTTGCTCTTATCTAATTGCAAATTTAGCAGCGTATATTTTGATATCAGTTGTGTAGAAATTATTATGTCTACTGTTGCAATACTTGCTAATTAGAAATTACTCTGGAGTTTGTGCATTTGGGACTAATATTTGATGAAGAGCAAATTTCTTCACTAAAATGATGCTTTTAGTTAATCTTCTGTGTACTTTCCCCTTTTAAGCAACAGAATTGATTGTAACAAATTTTTGGTTTAAAAAAATTTATTCACCTCTTGTCGACTGTCATAGGTATGATGTTTCGAACTTTTTTTTTCTCTGCAGGTACCTGCAACTCATCTACTGACAGCTTGCGTCATGAATGCACCTACAGCCCTTGCCGTTTCAAAAATACTGTATCCTGAGTTAGGCCGGAGCAAAATTGCAAAAATGAGGGAGGCAATCGAGCAAAAGAAGTAGGTTTATCTTACAGCTGAAATGTGAGGCTTTGTGTGGAATTAGGCAATCATAAAACTAATGAAGTTAAGATATTGGCATTTTCCAGGCAGTTTGGCCATTTTTATGGAGGGGGGGGGGGGGGGGGGGGGTTTGGGCTCAACACATTTCTGTGTGGATTTTACTGAAAAAACATTGATCAAAGTTTCAAAACATGTAAATTTTCAGTATGGAATGACCAAACTTTGGCGGCCATTTTCTCATCAATTTTACCTCTAAAGCCGGGCGACCCGCACCTCCTTCAATCTCAAATATCTCGACTTCTTATCAAGAAAGACAGGTTTTTTTCAAAATTGAAAAATAGATAAAGGAACAAGCTTGTAGATGATACCAATAACGCTACATGGCCTGAAACTGACAAGTGCCTGATTCCACCGAGTTGTAACATTGTAACACAAATATAATGATTTTATGAATCTCAGAAACTGACCGGAAGTTATGTTAAAATTATACAGTGGAACTCGGATTCAACAAGGTTCCCGGGCCTGACCTAAAGTCTCGTTGAATCCGATTGTCCGTTATAGCAAACATGAGGTTTTGTGTAGATAATTACAGGCACTGAGCATGTAATGTGTAAAGAGAAGTCACAAGTAGTGCCTGAAAGGCCTGCATGTTATGAGCTGTTTATTTTTTTATTATTTTTTTTTTTTGGTTAGTGTTTTACGGGGCTCACAACTGCATAAGGTCATATGAGCACGCGGGACACACCTAATATTTTCAGTTGGTAGGAATTTTTGAATTTTGCCCGGGTGGCGGCCGAAGCCTACTTTTATCGATTTTAGACCACCAAGGGGTCTTTAACGTGCGCAACTTGCACAGGGGCCCTCCGAGATTTTTCGCCCTTGTCTGAAAAGGGTAGGTGTAGATCTTTCCTACCAGAAGATCAAGGGTGTGGCAGAAAGACAGCAGTAAGGAGGAGCCAAGGAGTAGCAGTAGAAAGGCTGCAGAAAGAGCCAGGAACCCAGAGGAGAGGGCAAAGGAGGTGAGGGCAGAAAGCAGATGACAGAGCATTGCTGGAGAGCAGGAAAGGAGGTGAAAGACAATTTTAGAGATGAAAATTTTTCGGTCGCTACCCGGATTTGAACCCGCGACCTTTGAATGAGAGGCCAACACCTTAACCTCTAGGCCACGAGAGCCGCCTTGTTATGAGCTGTGTAAAAAAAAGACCGATTCGTTCAAATGCACACGCCTGAGTCATCTCAATTGTTTTACCAAAATGTTGTGTTGCTGTGCAGAGCCTAGCATACGGCAACTTTTGATTCCATAGACCAGCGCACAATTCATTATGTAGATCTACGTTAAGACTAGCTTATCATTGTAATAGTGATCAGTTGCTGAGGGGAAAAAGAGACTGACGCGTTTGTATCTGCGACGTTCAACGCCCGGACCGCTAGTGCCTGACCCCAAAGTTTTGTTGTGATATTTCATCTGTAACCAACTGCAAAGTAAGAATTTCAAGAATATCTTTTGTGGAATCAATTTCCTCATTCCCTAGACAAATTGGGTTGGTTCTCCACAGGCATGCCATTTGTTCTGTTGGTGTCATGCTGGGATATGATGCAGAGGGCAGTGGCTTGAATTACCGAACGGTGGTCTTGAACTGATTTTAATTTGTTTGACGAATGATTTTTCCGGTCAAGTTCTTCCTCTGAAAGGTCAGTTTTTAAATGTGGCTGCTCGGTTTCATTTTTCAGTGTCTACAACAATGTGATTGAAGCGGCTGCTGCAGGCGCATCTGCTGCCATTTCTCTGGTAGCCAACGTCGCGGCTAACCTCATAGCCTTTGTGGCCCTCCTGTACTTCGTCAACAGTACTATCTCATGGCTCGGAAGCTTTGTTTGCCACGCTGAACTTAGCTTTGAGGTAAAACAAAAAGTATTTTTGCTTTGTTGAATTTAAATTAACGGATTAATTAAATGCAATTATATTGTAATAATAATTATAAACAGAGGCAGTCTGTGGTAATGTCTACATCATTTCAATCAAGTTTGTTAAGTTAAGATAGTGAGTGATTTTCAAGTGCTCTGGTGTAGTTTGCCCCTTCTTTCCGATCAGACATCTGTCATCCTTATCGCCTCTCCTTTTTTGTGTTTGTTACTCTCTTGTAACACTTTTTCTCCTTTTCCAAGACAAGAAGCTAAGAAAGTTGGGGGTTTCAGATATGTTTCTGTTTTAAGGTTGCAGACAGGTTGGTGTATTTGATCATGAAATTGTGTGTGTAATCAGAAATTTCAGTCTCCTTACTTATTGTTAATGGAAACGTTTGATAATTCGCAGGTGATCTGTTCCTATGTGCTGATGCCCTTGGCTTACATCATGGGTGTGGAGTGGGAAGATGCTGGAACTGTTGCCGAGTTGCTTGGAATCAAGACTTTCCTCAATGAGTTTCTTGCATATGACAAACTGTCAAGTTTTATTGACAATCGGGTTTTATGTCGTGGCGGAACAGTAATTTCTGTAAGTGTAGTCAGAGTATGTTGTTATTACACTTGTCTCTTTTATGAAAATTCCGTGTGACATCTTGTGTTTTCCCTGTTACGTCTATACAGTGGGCACCACTATAGCAACTGGACATGCTTATTATGGGGACAGTTGGTCTTGGTAGTCCTGTTTATAGCCAGGGTGCCCAGCAAGGTCGTAAAGTCGTAAAAAAGTCGTAAATTCGACGCCCTGGTGTAAAGATTGTAAATGGTAGTAAATTTGCCCTGAAAGTAATAAACATTTTATAAACGGTCGTAAATTTGCCTGCCTACTGAGTGATGAAGCCAGCAAGACTTTTCAGTGAACCCTAGCTGTGGTACATGACTCAGTTTTTGCCGGTCGCGATTGTGATATAATATTCGTTCAGCTTTTCCCAGTCCAAGAGTACGTTTCATGCGAAAAGACGGTTATGGCGGCAGGCAGAAGTGTACGTGACACCTAGGCTTGATCGGGAAAATCAAGATCTACTTTCGCTTTCATTACCACCCAGAAATTTGACGCCGATAGGCTGATATCGCAAAATTTGTGACATTCAGGTTGTACAGTATAAACGTTGTGTCGCCGTGCAAATAAAATTTAATAATTACTCGGAAAGGTCACCATGCTGTCACGTGTGTGTGTGGCTGGAAAAAAACCCAAAACGAGCATCCGATTTTTAGATTGTCTGGCTCGCCATCATGACCGGTCAGTGAACCTTTGCGTGAGGCACCACGAGATATGGCATCGGTGAGCACCGGTGTTTGTTGGGGTCGCCAAAGTCATTAAAAAGTCTGAGCGTTGCGAAGTATAGGACTACGGAATGGGGCAGGGATTATTGATTTTTTAAAGAGGTACACTGGGGGGAGCGGGGAAGGGCTGAAAGCAACACTAGAGAACAAAAACTTGTAAGCAAATTTCAGAATTTTGATTAGATTTAGAGCCTTCTGCAAATCGTGCGTTGGTGCAGGCCTTGTGTGGAATCGGAATCCTTCATACCTTGTAAGCCGTGTCATTGAAGTAAAGTGTTTGCGTTTCATTGGTTGGGTGATGGTAAATTAGAACAATATTGTAGCTTTCTGTTCAAGACTGGCAGATTTTCAGTGTCACTGCCTCTTGCCCTCCCACAGTTCTTACACCTCTCGCACTGAATAGGTCTACTTGAGCCGTTCAAGTTATTGCTCTACTTTTAGTTTGAGCAATAATTTTTGTCTTTCACGTTGATAATATGAGTCATGACACCCAGACTGGTTCTTGACAGTAGAAATTCTTGTTCAAGGCCCCTCCGAACGCTCAAAGTAGGATTCATTTTTTAAATACATAATAATGAGAGGAAAATATTATAATAGACTGAAATACTTAAGGCAAACAAGACCCCAGTGCGACACCTGACATGTTGTTGACTGGATATATTTTACGTGTGTGTGTGTGTTATGTAACATGGCCCTGGAAAATGGATGACCCCCTGGAAAATTGAGAAGCCGGTTTGACAGTCACCCCTGTGTGTACACATTAGGTCTAAATCTATCCCCCTGTCACCACCACCAGGGCAGTGCTACTGAATGAGGCATCTTTAGGCCATTCCCAAAGGGAGGATATTAGCATGTTCTTATGCACAGTAGAATTGTAAATATAAGCTGATTTATATGTCATGCTCATACTGTGCTGGACCAACGTAGGGGGAACTGCTGCTTTTTCTGTCCTCTTCTTTACTATTGTCATTTTCCTCTACTTCTTTTGTATGTTTGTCACTCTTGTGAACTACTATTTCCTGGGTGCCTTGATAGTCGAAGCTTTATTCCCCGTTTGGACTTCCCTATTGCATCCACCCCTTGTCGCTCATATGACCTATGCAGTTGCGAGCGCCGTAAAAACCTTACTAAACCTACATCTAGCAGCGACCAAGCTTGCGATCGTCTGTCTATCCTCCATTTTGTCGACTGGACTTTGTTAGTTTGTTATTTTCGTTCCATATATTATGTAATAATAATATATGTTATTGTTGGCGCAAATGAACTCCCTTTTTCGAGATGGTGCGGGACTTGATTTGCTGGGTAGTAAATTCTTTTCTGGAAATATTGCTGGACTCCCTGTATAGCCAAAGCCTGCTGTATACAGAATTCACAAAAACTAAGTCAATACCACGATTTTTTAAGCCTTAGTTAAAAAGTGAAATACAATGTTGTGGAATACGGTATTGTAATTCCCTCTTCCAACTGCTCATATCAGTTTATGACTTCAAAATGGTTGAACTGGTTAAGGTTTTTGTTGTTGTAAAGTTCTGATTTTACAGTGTGCATGCAAGTTATTTAGACATACAATTTTTTGGCTCAGCACTCAGCATCAAATATTGTGTTTAATTTATACATATTTGCACTGGTGTTTTGGGTTGTTTAAATTCTGTAGTAGCAGGAGAAAGTCAGGTACTGGCAACAAATGTAACTAAACAGACAAAAGTGGACAAGAAAATGATTGAGGGGAAAATAAAAATGTAAGTGTATTGAGTAGGGTATGGATGCAAGAAGTCACTTTTTTTTTTTGGCTTTATTTATTAAACCCTGGTATATTTATTTATTTCACAACAGGTACGCTCAGAAATTATAGCCACCTATGCTCTGTGTGGGTTTGCTAATTTAAGCTCCATCGGTATCCAACTTGGAGGTCTGGGCCCTATGGCTCCTAATCGGCTGGGAGACCTAGCTCAGCTGGCAGTAACTGCTCTGCTTGGTGGCATTGTCACAAACCTCCTGACTGCATGTGTGGCTGGTGAGTGCACTAATAGAAATATGGGAGGTTCCTGATTTGACTTGGTTAGTTCTGATACATGGTTATGCTTATTAAATGTAATTTCAAATCATATTCTATGTCGAAAGGACTTGAACTTTGGATTAGCCCACATGAATCATCATAAATGTTTAACAACTGAGAAGAAACTCGACTTATAATACATTTTTATGCTGGATAAGAAAACACTAGAAACCTGCTGTTAACATTTTCTTTTGTTCAAGGAGTGCAGTATTTACTAATGTCGTTATTGATACTTTGGAAAGTGAGCAGCCTTTTAGAACAGAGAACTTATTATTTTAGCATTTATTATCCCCATATTGACAGTAAAAAGGTTTCTCTGAGCAGAGAACTTTTTATTTAAGTATTCATTATCCCCATATTAACCATGAAAAGGTTTCTCTGAATTGCTTTGTAACTTTTGAGGACAGTCATTTGAGGCTTGAGAAAATAAATTTTCCACAAATGCTTATTTGGTGGCATTCTTGAAGAACAAACAAGTTTTTTCAATGATTTATAGTTAAACATTTGATTCATATACCACTTTAGTGGCTAAAATAGGATTGATGGATTTGGCAGCAGTTTTGTTATTGTTTTTGTAAGAATATTGTAAGTGTAGGTATTTGATTTGTTGTAGGCCTACATTAACCAGTCTTCAGTGCCAGAAACTTGTTTTGTCACCACTGTAAAGTCCATCTGATGGTGGCTTGTCTGGAATTTTTGAAAAGCATGTATCTTTTGATATGAATATTGTATTTATGTAAGTGTGGGAATATTAACATATTATTTCTTTCTCACCACCCCAGGTCTGTTGGTCATTGAGACCCCCTTTGATATGGCAACCTGTCTGAATACTACTGTTGAAGCTGTGATGAATGGGACTGTCTCTGCAGTGGTCAATGGGACTGTTGCTGCAATGAATGGAACAGCCATCTAGGTCAGAGCAGTTCTGGAGATCCAAAACATAAAGAGAAGACTGCTGACTTGAGAAAGCCTTTGGTATAATACGAATGCCTAAGCTTGATATGAATACTGAGAGGTGCGAAGTAACTCAGGATGTTGGAATTCATGTGCTGGTAATATTGCAGAATCTCTAAAAACGTTTCAGTTTAAGACTGATTCTTTAAAATCATATTTAATATGCATGGAGTTGGTTAGCTTGTGAATGAAATGAACAGATTTTTTTTCATTGCAGCTATGTCATTCAGTTACCCTTGCACCTTGACATGAAGAATGTGCATTCATGGATTCATATGAACAACTCGGGAATCTTTTAGTCCCATCTTAAAATCTTCCTGCCTTGAGAAGGCCACAAAGTGGAGCCATCCTGACTGTTCTTGAGCATTGCTCTTTCCCCTTCACTTCACAATGTAGTCAGTTGTTTAGTTGCTGCAGGTGACAAATTCATTTCGCTGTGTGGGAGTTCAAGGTACAGTTCCAGGCCTGTCAACTGTCCTGGATTCAGCAATTGGGAAGTTGAGAGCCTTGTCATATATACACTGTGCTAAAAAACAGACCCTGATGATATTTTGTTGGTTTTACGTAATCGGGTGTTATAACATTGGGTGTCTCTGACTGGGTTTTGACATTGTTGGCATGCCTGTTGCTCTGAGTGGAGTCTTAATTTTGTTCTTGTCCTTCTTAAGATTTGGAATATTTCCCCAATGCCTTACAGTGCTCTGCATTCAAAATGACTACGATAGTTGTATCGTGTAAACTTACTTACGCTACCAACTCATTTCATTGCGGTGCAAAATTTCATAAGAAATATTATTTTTTCAACATATTTTCTAGCAAAATACAATACAACAGTAACTTTATTCTTCACTTTTCATATGTCATGTATAGAGTCTTGAGAAATGGAAACTCGTTTTGAGGAAGTGTGGAATAATCAATCAAATTTTCTTACCCGACGTTTTTATTTATTTTATGCTTGCCTTGTCTACATTTTTGTTGTTGTTGTTTTCTTTATGTACTGCCAACATGTCCTTAGGTGCTGTCAAGTAAGATCCAAATATTTTACAAAATTATGAATGTAAGAAATGTACTATACCTGTGAGTTTTAGGGACATTGTTGATCATAATAATATAAGGAAAGATGATCTTTTTTGGTTCCACTGTTTTCTGCTAGTCAGATTTTTAAGGCACCATTTTGTGTTCATTTTGCGTTCTGTATGTCAGATTACTGTTATTTTTATTTATTTTAAAAAATCTGTTATGACTTTCCTAAAATTAAAATATAAATGAAAGACTCAAAACTGCAGCTAACTTGCAGCATGGAGAAAAAATATTCCCTACAAATTGACACATTTTAATGAATCTTGTCTTCGTATTTTGCTTTCATGTTGCCTTTGCTCCAAATTTATGTTTTCTGTCCTATCATACATCTATTGTCTCTATCTCTCCTTTTATTTGTATTTTACTCTCTAGTAACACCTTTAATTTTTGGCACTTGTATAAACTAATCATGTTGCAAATGCTGTAAAACTGTTACATGTACTAAAATTTGAAAACATTTTTTGTTTTATAAGTTTTTAGGAATTACATGCATTGTGTTTTTTCGGTACCGTAACATGTTTCTATTTTGTGGGGTAGCTAAATTTATTGTGTTCATAAGAATTAGTAATATAAACCCTATTTCAGAGGCAAAGCTTTGCTTTAAGTTAGGTGACAATTTACACATATCACAAAATATCAGGCATTTTTTAATTACATTTGTCGAAGTGCAGATTTCCAGTTTTTTTTTCCCCTGGTGGTTCTGATATTTTCAATGCTAAAATGATGTTAAAGGTTCAAAGAGTTAGCGAAGGCTTTTGAACGTATGTTGGGTAGAGACCCATTATTTATTAAGAGAATTGTAAATAATAGACATGTTGCTATTTATTTGTCACTGTGGTGTTGAATGCTGTTATACTCTTGTTGAAATAATGTAGTTGCAGTGCTATTTGAAATATTTTACTTCATTTGCTTGATGTGCAGTACCAAAATGACAGTTTTGACATATCAAGTTCCATTTTTTATACTTTTGCTTTATTTATTAGATGACTTTCCATTTTCTGCTTTTTAAGTTAAAGGAGTTCAGAACTATACTCGTCAAACGTTATTTATTACAAATCATAATGATGGACAAATGGTCTCGTAGTACAGCCGGGCACGGATAACTTGGGACACGTCAGGGATTGACAATAAATGTGTTTTGACTCATCCATAATTCTACTTTACCGATAACGGAAAATTAAAGAGATTTTTATTTTTTTATCAGTCGATTAATGGCAAATTGTATGAGCTATCCATGATTTAGAGTTGTCAGTGTTCGTGCTATCTGTGCCCGACTGTATATAAAAGTGTTGTAGTCAGCATGCTAAACTATTAGCAAATACAGTTTACCGGTGTTCCAGACATAGATAAATATCAGAATATGAGACTTGGAATGATTAGGGTTTGTGTGATTGCAATGTGTTCATAGATTTGAGCTTATGTCCTCTCTTCCCCCCCCCCCGTTTTTGTTGGGTTTTTTTTTTTTTGCTTTGGTATTCAGCATTCAAATGGAATCTGGCTCTGCCTCATTGATAAAAGTTGTTTCATCTTTTCCAAGAAGCACTATTGTTGGTCTCGAAAAAATATGTTATTTTATCTGATGTGTGGGAGAGGGTTTTGGTTAAAAAAATGTTTTTTTAAAAATCAAAATGGATTAGCTTTTAAAAGTTTTGTGGTTCTCCATTTTTTTGTTTGCCACTGATAGAAGTTTTGATCCTGCAACATGTACTTGCAAAAGTCCCATTCCAACTCGTTTTTTCTGAGTTCAGTGTCAACAAATCTATTGAATTGCTCATATTCCTCATGGCTGCATCATTTTCAAGCTGCCGTCCCCGCAAAAATTTTTTTAATCCTATCCGTACTTCGCATTTTACTATCGTATCCATACGATGGGAGGAACTCTGTGCCGCCACTTTCCAAAGAGGAAATTTACTCGTTAATCCGATCCATGCGCTTTGCATAGCTCTCTGTCAAAATGATTTTCTGAGAAACACAAAGTTTCAAAGAGATCTTTGCCCTAGAAGTATTCCAAAATGTGAAGAATACAACCCTGGGGGTACAAAATGACCCCAGGGCGTACGGATAGGGAATGTGGAAAAGTCCAGACAGACTACATTTTTTCTGTAGTCGAATGTCTTTTCAGTAAACTGAAATTGAATTTGTAATACATGGTCTGTATTGAGAATCATCAGTATCCTGCCCAACTTTTACATATGTTCATCTGTCGTACATTTCAGTAAGTTTCCTCGCTAGTCATCACACTGAAACTTACTGGCTATTACAATTATTGCATCTCAAGTATTAAGTCAATGGTGGGTGTAAGAAACACCTGTATTTAAATAACAAAATTATGTATTAAGTCAGTGAGCGTCCCGCTGGTATTTTTAGTTATGATGAAACATGTAAGGTATTGCTTTGTGTTGGGATAAATGTTATATTAATTCTTGGGAGTACCGGTAATTTCAGTATTTCCATCTGATATTACTTTTCCCAGTGTGTAATTTTTTTGTATGAAAACTTCCACAAATACTTTTGTTTCAGTAACCTATACATCTGTGTAATCCATTCAGTGGTGGTATTTTTTTCATTGAAACTGAACCAGTATTTTTCTTTTCTGAAAAATGACTGCGGGTGCTCTGCTGTGGTTTGTTCCTTCTTTCCTTCAAAATATCTGTTGTCCATATTTCTCCTCCCTCTTTTTTTTTGTCACATCTATTCTTCAGAACTTGTATATATGTGACTTGATTGCATTGCAAGTGCTGTAAAACACCTACTAGAACTAAAAAAATGACCCAAGTCTGCTCTTTTCCTTTTTTTTCTTTCTTTTTTCGTGCAAAGCACAGTATTTTGGCCCCCTTTAACACATTTTCAGTTCCTGGAGACTGAACACAGCATCCCTCCTCACCCTGAAATTGTCTGTTCTATTTCTGTACATACTTGTTGCCGAAACTGACACTGAATCTCACAGGCATTTTTTTTACTGTACTCCGAAGTCCATATTTTGTCTCCACATTGTCAAGTTATTTTACTCAATTAGAATGTGCATTCATCATTTCTCACTTGTGTTTTGGTGCATTGTCAAGGGATATTTGCATGCAGATCAGATTTATCAGTATTTGACCCTTTTATGAGGGTACAGGCTTGAAGAGTTAGTAAAACTAATCTTTGTGTTGCTTTATTTCTTTGAAGTTTTCAGTTTCATTACATTTGTCCTGATTTCAAAACCTCTGAATCTCAGTACCGGTAATCACATTCGTTTTTAGCATTCCAATTTTTTGGGGGGTGCACCGGCTCTCTTCCCTACCTTGCACTGGTCTTTGTTCTCTTAATTTATTTGATCTTTGTGGGATACACGCTGGTGTAAGTGGGTGGTTGGAGGGTGCCACTGGTAGGTCCTACTTCTGTACTTTTCCCTCTGTTGTTTCTGTCTGTCTGTTTTACTTTTTTCCCCAGGGCTAAATGACCATTCTTGTGTCGCTGTGCTTCTTTTTACTCAAACAAAGGCTGCTGTATGTGTGAATTGTCAACACATTATCAGCTTTTTCAACACAACTCTCCTAGTGGCGTCGGTGGCCTAGTGGTTTGGCTCTCGGACTCGCAACCGTAAGGTCGTGGGTTCGAATCCCGTCAAGGGCCCGACGTTGTGTCCTTGGGAAAGGCACTTTACACGAATTTTCCTCACTTCACCCAGGTGGGAATGGGTACCCGGCTATAGACAGCGAAAGATCTTGTCAGTTTGTTAGTGTTTGAGCGCTTAATCGGCTGCTCGCACTGTATGCTTCCCGGGAAGCTGAGAATGTTTCGGAGTGTTCTATGGTCTGCTGGGGTAATAATATAGTGTAAAGCGCATAGAGCCTGCTGTTGAGCGGGGATATGCGCTATACAAATGCTATCTATTATCTATTATTATTATTCTAACCTTAAAG